CGGTTGCAGTCTCTCTATTACGAGTTTGCAGAACGACCCTGCGCTGGCAAACAAATGCTAGCATACCATTCTGCATTAACCGTTCTTTGTCCCTCAAGAGGAATAGTCGTAACATGGCCGGTTTTGGAGACAAACGTGGCCACCATGAGGAAAAGGCGTGCTCAAAGCCTCATCCCAATTTGGAGTCACTCAAGACATCCTTGATTAAGGCAGCCGCCGATATTGACATGGACCTCGTTCGTGCTGCGATAGACGACTGGCCGCGCAGATTGAAGGCCTGTATTCAAAATCACGGAGGTCATTTTGAATAAACTTTAGTGTCATAAGAATCTATGTTTTGTTAAGTTCATTTTGGTATATGAATGGTTACATAATGCATAAACTTGTTTCAATTATTTTACATTAAACATGTGACAGAATTTATGACCCGACATACATATATATATATACCTAATATATATGTTACCGGAAATGTATGAAATCAAGGAATTGTATACAAATCCTAGGAAATGTGTACAATTCCGATACTATTTAGGAAATGTATAAAATATTGTTTGAAAAACGATGTAATGCATAGATATCCTAGGAAATGTATAAATTTCCTCGGAATTGTATATAATTCCAATATCGTATAAGGAAATGTATAAAGTAAATGCTTTCTGTAATAAAACACGTTGTTAATAATATTTTTTATTATAATACTTATTGAGACAATCGGGTAACAGTCATACCGTAAAATAATAATAATATATTCATATTATCTTACTAATTAAAACTTCTAAAATCAACTACATATCTATTAACTTTTAACGTATCACAAAATCAACTTATATTTATTCTTATAAAATCAAATTTTCATCTGGCAAGTAATCAGTCTGATAATTAAGTAATTATAAATGTCAAAGTATAAAAGTAAATCTTTGAAAATGATAGGGAAATGGTATCATCTTGATGGGTTTTCGAACGCAATCCCGCATCTTTCGATTGGCAGCCTGTCAGACTTCTTTACGATTAAACTTCCTTAGTGTTATTAGATTTACGACCGTATTTTCTTGTGTATGATATACGCGAGAGCGTCATACCAAATATAACCCTAAAAGCATAATGAGCACTTTGGGTTCAAAAGGTTCGAAACGAATGCTGCTCATGGGTGCTCACGATGTTTATTGCACGAAACTGTATGTATTATTACTAGCTAAAGAAAAAAAAAACGGCTGCAAGATAGATTACTTCAGTTATCCTTGTTTTTTTCCTTCGGTTCCGGCGGATTCATACGCGAGTTTCATCAATTATAAATTTATCGGAATTTCTCGATTGCCTCGTCGAAGTTTAATCAGGACGTTGAGTTGTGAACGTGATCTCTTTAGTTTGTTTCAAACGTTTCCGTGGGAGAAAGTTCAGCTTCTCAGCGGAACTTTTTAAGGTTCGAGCTTATTTGTAATATAATTGTGATAATGATAATTTATATTGCTTAGCCTATTACTAGAATTAGTGAATTTGCGGTTATCAATTGCATTTGTTTGTCCCTGATTTCGACCATGTAGCTAGATCGATAACAATTCTTTTTTATTGCTATTATTATAGCAGACGGACGAGCATACAGTACCCCTTGGTGAGTGTTTACCATCATTTTAGGACGTCAGCAATGTCAGGGTTATAGCCAAGCTGGTGCCTACCGCTAGTAAGGAATTAGCGGTCATTCATCCGTATTCTCTTCAACTTACCTCGGCCTAATTCTTATCTTGATTTCTGATGGTATCATGTGAGTCTATACGAATTGGTACATGTAATAACCTATTACTGGTGGTAGGACCTCTCGTGAGTCCGCGCGGGTAGGTACCACCACCCTGCCTATATCTGCCGTGAAGCAGTAATGCGTTTCGGTTTGAAGGGTGGGGCAGCCGTTGTAACTATACGTGAGACCTTAGAACTTATATCTCAAGGTGGGTAGCGCATTTACGTTGTAGATGTCTATGAGCTCTAGTAACCGCTTAACACCAGGTGGGCTGTGAGCTCGTCCATCCACCTAAGCAATAAAAAACAAAAAAAATCTGCTTTGAAGCAATTAAGGAGCAGCATTGACCGTTTATCGGGGTGTTGTTGAGGCTCTTTGAATTCTAATCGTTTAGAATCAGGCTTATTTGCCTATCTCCGATAAAACACGCTCTGTATACGTTGCTATAAAATCCAATTTGTTTTGAGGCTTATTCGTAATGTAATTTATCAGAATCGGTTTGTATGATTTGGGCTGTGCGCTAAGTAGTTACGGAAAAGGGGGATTTAGGAGCGGCGAACGGGTCCGCGCGATGAGCTGTGACGAGGGATCTGAACGTGTCGTGTATTTTTTTAAACTAATGGTCCCACAGTAGTCGAAATTTGACTATAATTGAAGTTATAAGCTTGAACATCATTATGGTTCTATTGTCAAAGACTATTTATTATACTTCTATAATCACAGATTTCGCCAAGGCTACGCTTCTCAATTTGACCAAAGACTTTAAGCAATAACAAAAGTTTGACAATAAACATAGAGAGATCATATGTATATTGTTATATGTGTGTGTCAAATACATGGTAGTGTGTGTAATGTTTTTTTTTATTGATTTCATGTATTATTATCGCATAATTTTTTTTAAATATTAACATTCTGCACTCCTTCTCTATATTCTCTGTATGTTTGGGAAAATACATACTCCTCCGTCGGTGCAAATTTCGTAAAAAAGGGGTAAAAAGTAATTTAGTGTGGTAGATATAATAGTATTTTCTTAATACTACTGTAACGAGTTCATCTATTGTTTTTTAATTGTCATTATTTAATTAATTATAATTGACGCTTCGAACACTTTACGTAGTCATAGATTACATTAGAGTATCATGGCGGAACAAAATATGGCATCAAACGTAGAAAAAGCGATGACCCTAGTACAAATTATTAATAACTATTTTTGGTCATAAATGAGAAGACAAGCTCGGAGCCCACCTCATGTCCACTAACACGGCCGCCCACCTTAACACGTGAGTAGAAGATTAAACGGACTACGCTTGCAAAACATTACTATTAAATTTTTTTTTCTTATCTTTTCTTCAAATTATGTGGAGTGGGAGCATGTCCTCTTCTTACCATGCTGCACAGGGATTTGAGTTTTACTACCGGCCGCCTACCCGACCTCAACCCTCCTTGGGTTATATCTCCAGTAGTATATCCATTGCAGCGTATCATAGGGAGTGATTCGTAAATCGCTTCACGAATTCATATTCCACTAGGTTTCTCGCCGGATCTTCTCACTGGGTCGCGTTTCCTATCTGGTGGTAGATTCAGCGAAGCACTGCTCTTGCTAGGGTTAGTGTTAGCAACGTTAGGTTTGAGCCCCGGGAGGCTACCTACTTGTTAGGTTACGCTGATATAGCCTCTCAAGGCTACCAGGTTAGGTAGGAAAAAAAAACTAATTCAATCAAATCTATACACCAAGAGATTAGGTAGGAAAAAAAAGAAAGAAAAAAAAACTTTCAATTAATTCTATACACTAAATACACATACCAATGCTCTGTTTAAGGCTAAAGGCCATCGATATTGTTTTTAAAATTACGTTTATTTAGAATTATTTATTATTGCATAATTAGTTTTATTTTAGAGTTTTTTTTAAACTGGCGAAGATGGGTGTCGCAGCACACAGAGCACGTGACTTTAATCGGGTACCGAATCCCATGCACATCATAATTCCACCTTGAAATAATATATGTATTATAATAACCTATATATCGGCCATATACCTATGTATCGTCTATATAACGGCTGCTCAATCCTTCAAACCGGATTCACGACTGTTTCGCGGCAGAAAAGCCAAGGTAGTGGCAGCTAGCTACTTGGGCGGGCTAATGGCACACCTTATCTTGAAAGTCTTGATCGTGATGATTTGGTTAATTTATGTATTACTGTATCGATAAGTGTTTATTTAGAGTTTTAGAGTGGTTAGGCAGTAGAGGAACCATTATCACGTACTATTTTCAATTGTTACAGGTTATGTGTGCATGCTGTTAGATAAGCAACCACCAGTGTGATAGAATCGTCGCAACTAACCAACAGAGTGGAATGGTTCCGGTGAGCTGGCGACGTCTTGTACTAGTGAGTAACGAACATATTTTCTATCATTAAAATTAAACGCTAGTTTCTACTATCGAGTTTCTGAATAAATAAATTGTCTTAATGACGAATTGAAGATTTACTCTTGGAAATCTTTTTGGAAAAAAAAATGGGTATCGTTTCTCGTGCCAGTTCTATGCCATCTATAGTACATCTTATTACCCATGATGACTGTTAGTACCAAGTAGATAATGCAGTCCTATTATCGTGTTGCATTCTCTATAATAATATTGTCGACGATTTATTCGATTAATTTGATTGTGGAATGTTGTTATCGATTTTCCGAGATATTTGATGTGTGTCCGAAAATTAATTATTAAATGGGTATGCAATGCTGTTCTCTTATATCATAATTATTTCCATATTTCAATGTGTTTGACATAAATATTATTCTATAATTCCTTTAACTAGTGACGGATGGTATCCGAGAGTCAGTTCGTGTCATGAAGACCTCTCGGCCTATATCTGTCATTAACCAAGCCCTTGTTCCGATTAGTAATGCAGGCCACTTTTTGAAGCTGGAAGCAGACTTTAGTGGTAGTATTTATGGGTTCTAGTATTTGGCTTACAACCGACTGTGTCGCATATCTCCTAGAGACGAAATACACAAGCCGTGCATCACAAAAATGCGAAAAGTAGATGTTCGTCCTGTCATCAGAAATTCAGACAAATCGTGTGCTATGTCCAATCAGTAAACTGAAAAGTTCAATGGCATCTGTCGTATATCTTATTACCCATAATGACGGCTAGTACCAAGTAGATAATGCAGTCCTATTATCGTATTGCATTCTCTATTGATTAACTCGTTCCTTGTATGTCACTTAAGTCTATTTTGAGTCTGGGTACTTTACCGGGACTATGTCCTATAGACTAATGTTCGTTTTTTAAATATTCGACGCATCAATATTAAGATGATATGATAAGTTAGTTGAAATAAAAATGCCACCTACCCTTCTAACCAATTTTATGCGTCTGTATGCTACATATGGGTAGTATGAAAATATATGCAACGGGTCGTTTAATCCATTAATCTCGTCCCAATTGATGATTTCCGACGTCCTTTTTTTTAACTCACTGCGCAAATAATCAATTTATTGCGGGATTAATTTTAATACGCGATGCTATTTCTTCACTATGAAAGTCGTTCGTAGACAAATGTAGAAAGGATCTGAACCTAGTTGATACGAGTATATCGTATAGACTAGGTTACAACGACTTTTAAACAGTCTAAAGGGTAGGATAGCTATTATTTCAATAAGATTGAGAATTGACCTAGTGATTCAAAAAGAAAAGTATGTGTAGTAGAAACTTTTTGGTGACTGTCACGTAAGCCGATATTCTTTTTATCTGTGCCAAAGTCATAAATCGCTATGTGAATTGGACTTTTTGGCGGGAAAGCGAGGAGTGAAGCTGATTGTGATTTGTTTTATTTTGTCTATTTCATCAGGTTTAAGTAAATGTGTAATAACGGTGGTTTATTAACCGTTTAGTATCTGTGAAAGAGCACAAATGTGGGAAAATCAAACAAAGCCGCCGAACGTAACTTCTCGGGATCCTCCAAAAAGTCCACTGAAAATGTCTCAGTAAATAACCACCATTTTATTGAGATTATATTTCATACCATATCATCTAATCTCATTTCATTTCATATCTCTTGATATTATCATTTTTCATAAAAATAAGAACATAAATTAAAATAAGACTTGATCTAAAGGTCTTAGTTACCAGGTCATAAAATCCCTTAATCGCTATGTGTGATTTTTTTTGTTGTTAAGTATGGTACGTATAATCATCAACGTCGTATTATTTTACGTTCAGAGTTACGTTAATTATTCATCAGCAGGTTAACGCGTTACGTGTTTACGCAGGTAATACCATGATGAAAGACCCTTCTTAGCCCGCCCTTAAACGTGGATTCTCCATGAATTGATAAAGCAACGTATGCCTTCCGAATTCTGAAGTAGGCGCTTCGTATATACATAATTTATATATTTCCTTTTTATTGATATTGTATATTATCTCGAAACGTCTTGACCTAATTGCTTCTTGTTTCGCTACAACTGTAGTGGTTCTGAGTTTATTATTTGTTTTGAAGAAATACAATTTCGAGTTTGCGTTTCGTATTATCTACTGTGCCGCGCGTTTTAATTTGTGACATTCTTTTATTGCTTTCTCGTGTAGGCAATTTGTGATCATGACGATAATAAGATTACATGTTGGGCCAATATTTTTATTCGACACGATCCGATAACCGTTAGAGCGTGAAACATGTTGCATTTGAGTAGTTTGATGTGTCCCTTACACATAACAGAGAGGATTACCAAAATCCATCAACTGTTGAGGAAAATAATTCTGTACATAATTCATTAATAAGGTTAAAAATACTTTAACAATTTCGGCTAAATATGTAAAAATAAGTTCAGCACTCAAGGTTAAAGAGCTTTAACATTAAAATGAGTATGATATCACCCTAGTTAATTAGGTGAACAAAGATGAAGATGAGATTTATAGAGAACAATTAAATGTCGTCCGTGATAACGAAAACGATAAAGTATTCGAAACATTGGATATAATATAATGGCAATAAAAGATGCGTGATTAAAACGAACGAAAAATGCTTAAATATGATTATTTAATATTTACTAACAAAAAAGTGTATGTAGGTAGGTAATACAATATTTCAAAGTATCTCAAGATGGTAAAGCGTGGTTATAATATGACATAACCTCGAATCCTTTGCTTAAAACCAAAAAGCTCTTATCTAAATTAGCTTAACTATTTAAAATGAGGTCGGGCGTTGGAGCGTATATAACCAGTTAAACCAATTAATATTCGGCCCGTTCCTTGTGACAGTTGTTCACCTGTACCTCGCGTGTACACGAAGCTTGTACACACTAGTCTCGGTCATTGCGTCTATGTTAACATTCCTCGGTAACACGAAATGTATTTTTTTTTTACCTATTCTAGTAACCTCGAGGGGCTATTCTAGATTCGCCGAACTAGTAGGTGAGCTCACGGGACTCAAACCTGACGATGTTGCTAACACGAACCCGAGCAAGAGCCGTGTTTCGCAGAATCTACCACCGGATCGGAAACGCGACCCACTGAGAAGATCCGGCGAGAAACTCAGTGGGCTGTGTCTGTGGGTTAATTTACTCGCCGAGCCCTTCGTCGCCAGCGACGGGTTCGACGGGAATGATGCCCGGTGTATTTTTTATTGTTGTTCTAAAGCATCATTCGCACTTGTTACATTATAATATTATCATCAAAATGTTTTTATATTTAACAAGAAAATAAAATTCAATCCTCCGAAATATCTCGGAATTATTTTGGTATCGAAAGATATGGGTTATTCGAAATAAATAAATAAAATACCAAATCGTTATAATCCTAAGTGCAAAATTGTGTTCTTTGAAACTGCTTTATTAAAATCACTAATTGCATTAATCTAATCTATACGACGAAACAGGTTTTAATTAAACTGTCACTATACTATGGCTTGAACTTAGTTCGGGTTTATTCGAATTTAATTTGCATTACAAAGAGCGTTTTAAACGTAACACCAAACTACCTTTTAGCTGTAAACGGGTAGAGTTACACTCAACAGACTAAACAGTTGGTCGCGATGCAATCTGAAACGATTTATTCAGAAATCATATAACATGTATAAATATTGGAAGTATTCGTTTATTATCAATTGTTATCCTTGAAATACCTACGTTATTAAAATCTCGGCTTTCAATAGTTCCCTCACAACATTAATACATGAATAAAGTTAAATAAATAGTATTCCGAGTTTATTATTATATAATTAATACGTAAGTAAATTAATTTCAAGTGATTTTTTTAAATAATGTAAGTTATTTATAGATCCCGAAAGAGCTGTATACCAATTGCTTTCTACAAATTTAGAGTCGACTAGTGGCACTTAATCTAAAAACCGGGAGAAAAAGAGACATCCACACTGAGTATAGACAGTGAGTTTTTCGCCGGATCTTCTTAGCGGATTGCGATTCCGAACCGATGGTAGATTCTGCGAAGCACTGCTCTTGTTAGGACTGATGTTAGCATAGTTTCTCAGGTTGAGCCTGTGAGCCACCGAATAGGAAGGGGATGACTTTTTGGAGGAAACGCGTGGAGTCAAGTTGTGTGATTTGTTTTATTTTGTCTATTTACTGTTTCTTCAGGCTTAAATGTGTAATAACGGTGGTTTATTAACTGTTTAGTATCTGTGATAGTGCACCAATGTGGGAAAATGAAACAAAGCCGCTGGACGTAACTTCTCGGGATCCTCCATAAAGTCTACTGAAAAGTCTCAGTAAATGACTACTATTTTACTGAGATTATATTTCATCCGATGTCATTTCATGCCATGTTTCATATTAATCAACTTCATTTCATTTCATAATATATTTTTTTATATAATTAAAATAAGATTTGACCTAAAGGGCTTAGTTACCAACCAGGTCATAAAATCCCTTAAAAAAAAAAAAGAATAGGTAGGGATAAAATAAATATCAATATAGTCAGGATTACTGACGCTACGACCAGCGAGGCGATCAAACATGGATGGATCGTGGCAATTAGATGCAAATCAATGCTCGTGCGAGAAACTCCTCCAATGTACACCAGATTTAGCAAAGTAGCACTATACCTCTGTGGCCGGGTGTTCTGTCTCGTCACAGTAACGCGTAAACCAGCTGCTAGCTTTATATTTTATTCAAGCTCTTACCCGCCGTTTCGATGTTGGACTATGTTTGACTAGGGTAGGTTTACTTTTAGTTCGCTTACGTGACAGATATTTGAGTTGGTTCAGTAAACATAGGTACTTTCTGGCCTTCAACAAAATTGTCCTGCTATTTTCTTAATTTCATCAACACATTCTTCTATTCAGTTTTTGTTTATTTAGTTTTAATTTAGTAATCTAGTTAGTTAACTTCTTGTTAACGTCTTGTTGTCTTCTTCACTCTGTAATGCAGTTT